CGATGTGTCGCGAGGAGGTACCGTCGAGGTTGACGGTCCAGCCGCGGGGGCGCGTACTCTCGATGTTTGTCGAGAGTGTACCGCGCCTGACGTGGCACGGTCTAGGGGGTTGTGATGAGGGGAAGAAGGGCGCGTCTGACGCCCTTCGGTGTTGGGATTCTGTGACTGGTCCATGGTTGCTTTATTGGGCGATATCGGGCGGTTTAAGGTTAGAGTTCAGTAGTGACGTGGGACACGTCGAGCCCCAAATCGGGCGAATATCACGGTGAGAGTAAAAAAGTGTAAAACTCACGTATAGGGGGGCGCAATCTGTAGCCCCTTTCCCGCAAGTACTCTGGTCCGGGCTCTATTGAGGCTCGGCGTACTCGTAGGATAGTGGGGCAGGTAGAAAGGCTGCCCGCACTAGGCGCGCGGGTTCCGAATACCCGCACGCCGCACGCGTCTATTTAATACATCATTATCTTATCTCTGCCCAGCGCGTACGGCGCTGGGCTCGTGGATGTACGATGCCCGTAACGACCCGATCCTGGGTCGTTACAGGCCTGTATCATCCTCGTGGCTACAGCGAGCGCGAAATCGACACAGCGTACCTGTCTGCAGCACTGGGTGGACCCCGCCTTGCCTATGCCCTCAATCACAGTGCCGACATCTCTCTCCCCTCCTCCCGAACGACTCGAAGGCATAAAACTATGTGCGAACTCTTGCCGTCCATATCGAAACCTAGTGACGAGGAGATGAAGGCAAACATCTCGTCGTTCTTTGGGCCGGCTACGCATACAGCAGCGCCAGACGGGTCAGTCAGCGGCCACTGCCTCATGATGGATGGGATTGCGGTCGAGCAGCGAGCGTCGTACTCACGAGTGACAAATGAGGTGGTCGGCCTTTGTCGTGAACACTCCGGAGCTCTAGATCTTCATGTCATCAGTCTAGACGCCATCAAGCATGTCGCCGCTGCTCTCAACGACGAAGTACCAACCTGTCACCTCGGTAAGGAATGTACTGTGGCGGCCCTGGCTCCGTACCGTGCCAAGAACTATCATGCCGTCCCTATCCTCGTCTCGCCCAGCTGCAAGGCGGAGAAGGCGGAGGAAATGGCCGAGTGGATCCGACGATTTCTCAAGTGGTGGAAGGAGAGCCCAGATGGAGAGGCGCGCCATGGCCCGATATGGTGTGTTGCAACAGACGGTGATGGAACGTTTCGGCGAGCAAAGTTCGCACTCTTGATGCTGGCGACACTGTCTCCGGAGTCACCTCTGTATCTGGACCTTGTACGACTGGAAGGACTGAATCTGTGGACGGGCGAAGATGAGGTGACCGCAAGCGCGGACTTCAAGCACGTCTTCAAGCGTAAGTCCAAAAATGGCATCTCTTATATTTGGATAAGAATTGTTGATTTATTCACACAACAGGCTTCGCGACACTATTGCGCTCGAGCGAGGGAATCCTGGTCCAGGACACAATAATCAATCAGGACTCCCTCGCTAGGCACCTGGTGAAGCTTCCGGGCCTGAACGCCTACAAGGTTGCGAACCTCATCGATCCTAGCGACCACCAGAATGTCCCGAAAGCGGTGGAGCTCCTGCAAGCTGTATCTAACCTGCGTGGACGCGATACCTCGAGCTTCAACCCTTCGGAGCTGAAGGCGCATCATGCTATGTCTCTGTTCGCCGACGTCATCTGGGCATTCCTCGAGCCATTCATCAACCTCGACCTTTCCCTCTCTGAGCAACTACGCCTGTTGGCGCGCTACGCTCATCTAGCTTGCATCATGTACCGACACCATCGCACCTCGTTCATGACAAGCCAGTTGTACATAGACACGCAGATGATCGTCAAGAACATCGTATTCAGCGTAAAGAAGCAGCAAGTTCTCGACTCGAGCAAGCCTTTCTACATCATCCACGATGGCACGGACCGTCTGGAGATGGCATTCTGTGACGTCCGGACCCAGGACCATGCTCGCAACTTCGATACCCTCACTCTCAGCCGCAAGCTCTCCATCTCGGCAAATATCAACGCCATCATGCTCAAACACCCAGAGCTAAACCGCGGCCACCGTCGCATCAAGCTGTCGAACCGAGAAGGCCCAGACCATACCAATCCTGCCTCAACCCGTGGCGATCTTGTCGTCTCCAACGTGTCCCTTCAGCTAGTCTGGAAGCAAGGGCGAGAGGACGCCGAGCAGATACTGGCCGCCCACAAGGTTCCAGGTGTCTCCTTTGCAGCGCTCTGGAAGGTGTCAGACCTCGACCTTATGCGGCCTTTAGGCAACGGTCACTACATCGGGGTGCAGCCATTCGATGTCGCAGACCGCTCCGTAGCGTCTGAAAATTCTACGCACCCATGCCCCCAACCATCCCCCACGCCGACCGCCGCCAGCGGTACCAATACCGGTCAAGACGCACTCGACAGCCCTGCTGCTGAGATAGACCTCGAGGATCTGATCGCCACGGAGGTGACAGACAAGCACACCTCCGCATCCGACTGGGTGGAAGTCGTTCACGACGATGGCACGCGCGAATTCTATCACAAGTCATCCTTAGTTCGTATCGGCCTCGCCAAGAAGGACGGGGGACGTATCGCTATCGACCGCCAGCTGCGCAGCCAAGGTGTCAAACGCGACCGCTTCCGACAGGTCACGGAGGTCACCAGTGAAGTAACCGACAAGGTGATGTTCTACACAGGCGACATCGGCGCTGGCCTGGTCCGATGCGGGAACACTGTCACACTCGCAGTCGTAGAGGTTACGAGCCTGTCCGTCAACGGGAAGAAAGTCAGCCAGATCCCGGTGGACAGCTGCGGTGACGTGAAAGCAGGTGTCGTCGTCAGTGGAGAGCTTCTCGAGATCTGTCTCACGGCCGGCCATGCCACTGCGCTCGGAGTCCCATCGGATGGCGGCGAAGCACTCCCAGACGAATCTCCTGAGTGGCTCTGGGCTGGGAGCTTCCTACAAGTCAAAGGGGCATCAGCCAAATCCTCCGAGTCGTCGGCCAACCATACCGGACCTGTACATCTTGCCGCTAGGCAGACGTCACAATACTGTGTTCGCTTCCCTGGCTGGCTCTTCTTCCCCATCTCTCCCGACATGGTCCGCATCAATCCAGACTCGAACACGCCACTCGGAGCCCACGAGCCACCCATCACCTGGCGCTTCAGGTCTTCAAAGCTGCAGCAGCTCGTCGCCGACCTCTGGGCTAACTCCGAAGCATTCTCCGAGTCGCCTGGAGACATCCTTGAGGAAATGGTCACAGTCGATGAAGAAGCGCAATATCCCTATCGTAGAGCAGACGGTCAGTGAGGGCGACACCATAGCCCGCGATAGAGAGCTTAGTCTTACCATTTTGCGAACAGGTCAACCGGCGTTTGTCATCGAGAACCTGCCTGACGACCTGCGCGTCCAGAAGCTGGACAAGGACGCGCAGATCGCGTGCCTGCTGTGTACAAAGACGATCAAGCTGCGCGACATGCGCTCGCATGTTGGCACACACATTCTGCGAAGCCAAGTTGGGATTAGTGAGCCGCTTTTGACCAGGAAGGTAAGTGACATACCGAGTGCCCTCGTACTATTGCTTTGACTAAACCTCTGCCCGATAGCCCGGTCCCTCACATCCCTGTGGTTTCTGTGGTTTGAGCGGCTGCTCGATCGCTCTGCGATCGGCCGGTAAGAAGATGGAGATTCGTTCGAACTGCAAATACCATTATGATTTCAGTTACAATGCAGCACTTCGAAGCACTGCAAACGGGCCCTCAACAAACGTACCGGTACACTGTCCGATCTGTCCCATCGACCCGGGAACACAGCTGCCTCCAAGCTACTGGAGATACAACCTGGAGGATCACATACACCACGACCATGCGGAGGAGGCACTCGCCATTGCAGCAGGCACCGACACTCCGCTCGCCGCGAAGGCTGCCCGGGTCAAACATGTCTCGAAGGCCGAGGCCGGTCGTCTTGGGATCAGAGCGGAGGTCTTGACCGCGTACCGCCACACTAATGGCATCCCAGGATCCGACGATGTTGACCAGATGGACACAGAGGACGCCGAGAAGAGGGGGTACGCAGGAGCATCTGGGTCAAGAGGGCAAGCTGCTGGCGGGGTGCACAACCAGAGGAAGCGGGCGGGCACGTCAACCGTGGGGAACGCGCAGCTACCGCTGTCAAAACGGGCGGCAGCGTAGATGGATATGACAATGCATGTATTTCCGGGCTCCTATCTAGACTGAGAACGGTACGTAGACAGCAAACAAGAGTAGCCAGGGAGCGCGGCGTAGACACTACATATGCGTTGCGAAAGCGCGGACGAGGAATCGAACCAGCGCACCGGAAGTCAAGCGTTCAGCGTGAGTCTTACGCTGTTCCGTTCGGAATTTTTGTCAAAAGGCGTATGGGTATATGGTCTCTTGGTTCCGGGGTCCTGGCCGAACTTTGGGGTAGCTGATGTCGGAATTTCTTGCTTCGCTCCCCGCTTGGTCCCGGGACACTCAAATTCAGACATTCACACGGTGGACCGGTACCTTATTGCCCCCTCCCAGCTCCTCTCACGCGAGTTCGGAGCTCCCTTCTTGAGGCACAGAGGCCTTCCGCCCGCGATGTTAGCTTACAAGTCTACATACATGCCTGTGAGTAATCTGAGGCGACGGTGGTATACAAACGGAGGCACGTCGGAGGTGAAGCATCCAGAAGCGCCCATAGCATTCGGGGAGCGTGTGAACTATGCATGTGCGCGGAATACCGCCTGATGTCTGTGAGCGTGTGCGCACGCTCTTCACTGAGTCTTCAGATGTTCGCCCTCGGTTCGCACACAAGGGAAACGCGAGCGCGAGCTCTTTCTGGAGACTTCCACGTCAAGGTATAAATTTGCGAGCGTCCTCCCCAAACAAACGTCGGTCAATCAGTACGCCCGTGGAGCAGGGGGTCACGAACAGATGTGACAACCCGGCGTCCCAGGGACGTACCAAGTCGATTACCACGCGTTTTCCGTAGCTAAGAGACGTTCTGCGTACCTTTGTGCGTTGGAAAACGTATGTGCATGTTCTGCGGGCGTTGGGAGGGAATGGGCGCGAGCGCTCGAGACCAATTAGGGCGAGCGCGCGGGGGTAGCCGAGAGAGGCGGACGGCGTAAGCGTTGTTGTGGCCGTCACTGGGCTGTGACGACAACCTGCATTCCCGGACTCTGTCGAGTCTCCTGTTCTCGACGTCCACCACCCTCTGGGTCTTCCTGTGTGCGCCCACTTTGCCGCCATGGGAAACAGTGCCTCCTCCGGCCGCGGGCACCATGAAGAGATGGTCGACTTCGGCTATCTCACCCCACAAGGGATCTACACCGGTCCTCGGGATTGGAATCAGGCTGTTGTGAACCAGCTCATCGTCGACCGCAAGCTCGCTCCATTCTACCGGCCACTAGAAGACTACGAGGAAGACTGGGATGACGAGCAGATTCTCGCCGCTCGAAAGGAGCCGCCGGAGGTCGAAGGCGGGGAGACCTCTCGTGCCGAGTCGATCAGTTCAGCGGTCTCTCGCGGACACCAGAAACGGCCCAGTGCCGTCAAGGAACCCACACGACATCCTGAGGCTGCGATATATAGAGGTGCAGCAGAATGCCCCATTTGCTTCCTGGTACGTTCTCTGGCATGAATGCTATGTCCGAGCCACCCTGACCGGGCAGCATAGTACTATCCTCCAAACATCAACCACTCGCGGTGTTGTCACCAAGCTATATGCACAGAGTGCTTCGTGCAGATCAAGAGAGCAGACCCCACCACTACGCATCTCGTCTCGGAACCAGCGTCTTGCCCATATTGTGTCCAAGAGAACTTTGGCGTAGTATACACCCCACCACCATGGCGTGCGGGGCTTGGGAGCGAGGGCGCGGTCAGTAAATCTTCATTCTGCACACAGTATTCCATTAACTCCGTTTGCACCGTTGAACATCACACAGACGCCACCCTCGTGGCCTGACTCACCCCGAGGGACTTCTCAGCAGTCTTTAGACGCTGCCGCCAATCCCTCGATGAAGCGCCGGAGAAAGAGCTTTGGTGCCAATGATCCCGAGGTGGTCACGGTCGGTGAGTCCAGCCCCAGCCCCGGCAGACGGGAAAGTGCTCATGTGTCCGGAAGACCAAATACACCCGGACTGGGAGGCCAAATTGGCCGCGGTGCGTGCTGCTGTTGCTCGGCGCGCCAACCGGCGCATTATCATGCGCCAGGTCGGCGACCGTCTCATCCCCGTAGGCGTTACCAGTGGTCGCGTGCATGCACTCCCTCCGGAGGAGGGTGCCGCTGCCGAAGTGCAGGAAGGCAGCAGCGACCGTGGAAGCCGGCGGTCGCGGAGGCGGCAGCAGAACCAAGAACTTAACCAGTTCTTGGGGACCATGGGCCTGGGCGGACAGGATTTGGAAGAAGTAAGCGTTATTAGTCCCGGGTTTACTCCGTCCGACACTGACGGGCCTTTCCTCTCAAAGCTTATGGTAATGGAAGCCATGCGACTTTCTTTGATTGAGCATGAAGCCCAACAGCGACGTCAAGAGGAAGAAGACGCGAAGAAGCAGAAAGAAGCCGCTGCACCGGCGACAGCGGGTAGCACCGTACTCGCGACTGCAGGGGCCGCTGCTGGATCGACGGCCTCTGCTGCCTCTTCCCAACCGACTCCGAACATTTCCACACCTACTGCCCTTCGGCCGTCAAATGTCAACGCAATCTCACGCTCTGCAACCCCCACTCCAAGTATCCCGCCCGCCTCTCCTTCGCCCGCTCCTTCCGGCCCCTCCTCACCTCCCGCCCTTGGCAACGATGACCAACAGTCGGGATCGAGCCCTTCACCTCATCAAGACGTAACCGACCATGCAGTGACCGAGTCGCTCGCCCCTGTCGCTGAACCCGGACTTGCGTCAGCATCAACTGCGCTGGCCCAGTCCCGCCCGCGGACACCCGTCTCTCCGGCCAGTCTTCCCGTCATATCTGAGCCCTCATCGATCGGACAGGATTCGGGTAGCACGCCCTCTCTGCCTCCCATCGCCCGGGTTTCGTCGTTGTCGTCTTCACTCGCGCCATCGTCGTACGACGTTCTTCCGTCGACCCCCGACTCTACCCTGTCAATGTCCAACATTCCTCTGTTAGACAGTACGCCGGTGACGCCTGCCGCCGAGGGAGACTCTAGTTCCGCCCCTGCTAGTTGAGCGGCTACTGACCCCAGGGGAGGTTGTGTACACTACCCATTCACTGTACGTATGATTCAGAGGTGAGTCTTTCGGTTCGATCTAAAGTGTCGCAGGTTTACAGAGGCTGACTCGATGGTTATAGTGATGTATTCTGTCTAGATTTCTAATCATCCGCACGTCTCTTTCTCCAACACGAACATTCCAGCTGCTCGATTGCTCTTGCACCTGTTATCTTTCACGAACTTCTCACCGTTATGGCAGTCCCACGTTTGCGCGCTCCGGCGATCCTTCGACCAGGTCGGCTGATCACACCCCGACCCAGTGCGCTGTATTCCTCGTATTCTCCCCTCTCCTCTCACGTCTTTGTCGACGATGTATAGATCCACGTGATGTCGCGCTGTTGTGTATAAACTGCCATTACCCTCTCTCCCGTGGCAAGCGCGACGCGTTAGCATCGCGGGTGCGGACAGGACGTCTTCCATTGCAGTTTAGCCAACAGATCGTGCTTCGACTCTAAAACTACCGACAGGTTTACAATGGTTTGGATCTCTCGACGCTGAGGCTGCCTTTATAGCTTGACCTGTTAGAGAGCACCTCGACCTCGACCCCGCACACGGTATTATGTTATTTTCGCTTTCAGGATGGTAACATCCAAGCAAGGCGCGATCGCAGATGTGCTAGCGGCCGGTACACCTTCACTGCGATCGCCATTGATATTACGAGTGTACACACGAGTCCACTAGCTCGCGGTCATCGTGTACCGTCCTGGGTTACATTCGACCGGCGACATCCGCCAGTCGTCCCATCCTCTCTCACCGCCCCCTCATGTCGATTTTTGACGACCCGTGTTTGACGACCCTCTGCGCCTGGGATTGGTTTCGGGAGCGTCCTCCGGGGAAAGTTCTCTCCGGCGAATCGCGACGCGTCGGCTGCCCCGCACGATGCGCACATCCCGGAGGCGGGACGCACCGCCATGAGCTGCTGACGAGCCCTGCGACGGGTTTGACCTCTCGTGGGGTGCTGTTGCTGATGCCAAAGCTATTATGGCATCGAACCGTCGCGCTGCGGTTCTCTGGTCTTCTGCACGTCTATTAGAACTGGGTCGTACGTAGCACGTTGCATTACGACGCTCGGATATGAACTCACATGCACGTCAATGCACCTGAGATGCAGAACGACCGTCCGGTCTCCCCGAGCGATGTGGGGTACTGCGAGCGGCCCCGCCCGCCAGCTGCTTGCGACACGTCCTTGCCGCCGGGCCCGGAACGGACGCGGCAATACGCGCAAAATTTGGCGAGGCCTCAGTCGCCCGATCAGAGATTCACCTGAGGGCGCATTCAATCCTTCACGGCAAGCCGCGCAGCAGCGTCCGGGGAGGCGTTACGCGCACAACGTGCAGGCCCGCACATCCCCAAACGCCGCACCCGCACGCCGGTACGCGAGCCCCTTCCTTCGCATCTGCGCCCCCGTGCCCGCCATCAGCAGCCCCACGGCCAAGTCCCCGCGGTCGGTCTCGCCCGGCGCGCCAGGATATAAGAACGGCAGCGGGTGCGGCGAGCCCCGCCATCGTCATCGCAGCCGTCGGAGCACCAGCGACCTCGGAAGCCCTCGTCCTCCTAGTCTCGCTCTCTCTTCTTCTTTCGCGCTTGACGCCTCTTAGCCTCCTCTTCACTCCCTAGCAGAGAACTCGCAAGATGTTCAGCTCCAGCCGCTCTTTCATCCTCACTGTCCTTTCCCTCTCCGCCGCCTTCGGCGCCGCGCCCGCGCCTGCGCTCGCGGCCCCGTATGGCAACCAGCCGCCGCACGGGATCACGCACTCGCATATTAACCGCGCGAACGGGACGACGTTCACGCTTTCCCCGCGCGCGTTTGAGAACTCGCGATTCACGTTCTACGACGCTGGCCAGAACGCGTGCGGGAGCTTCGACGATTCGAATGCATTCGTGAGTGCTCTGCGTACTTGGAAAGAGTGGTATGGTACTCACCTTAGCGGTCGCGTCTGCAGGTCATGGCGCTCAGCCCTTCGGTACGTCCGAACGCCCCGCGGCATTGGAGGTCGGAAGACAGTGACACTGACAGGGCTTTCTGCATTAGTTCTTCAACAACGGCCAGCACTGCTTCCAGAATGTCATGATCGACTACAAGGGCAAGAAGGTGCAAGCGACCGTCACGGACGAGGTATGTCGCGCGCACTCCGGCCAGCTCCGAGTGGTGGACTAACAAATAGAACAGTGCCCCGGGTGCTCGGACTCGCAGGCGGACTTGTCGCGCCCGCTCTTCGCGGCCCTCGCTCCCCTCGACGAGGGCGTCATTTTCGGCAGCTGGTGGTTCAACTAAGCTTAGCTAGCTTTCAGGTTCCGTCTACTGGTCCCGCGCACCTTATTATTGCGCACTCCGCTCCTTGCTCTCCCTCTGTCGCTCGTTTTGGTGTTGTGACTGTGCAGTCGCGCAGCCCGCTGTCGCGCTATCTATTTCACGGTTTCCGCGTGTGTTGATAGATAGGTCCCGGTGCTGTATTCTCGTACGGCTGTACTCCTCCTATCTTCTTACCTTACCTCAGTCTGGTATAATGTCAATGTATTACCTGCGTACTACCTCCCTGTCTGCCGGTCTAGTCCTGGTGGCTGCCGCTGGGTGTTCTGTGCACTGAGCTTGGGAATTCAGATGTTGCAGGAATCAGAGGACAGTGAATTAGTTGGATTACATTCCAGTAGGCGGATAGATACAAGAGGATTAAGCGAGTAGTGGGCCGAAGCGGGGAGTGGTGGAAAGGGGTCGTTGAGGTCATGATCTTGAGCCGTCTGCCCATATAGGTTTTTGTGCGTCGGGGTCGTTGAGCTGGATCCGCGCAAAGCTGTCAGACTCCGTCTACGAAACGAAGAGGTAAAATGCACCTGTGCAGAGACTTGTTGCTGGGTAGCGTTCTCTCTCGCGAGCCTGGCTGCGCGATTCGCGTCGACCTTTTTGCGCAAGTCGGGTGACATGGCCTATGCGATGTAACGGGGGACTTAGCATCTGAGTGCTGTGGTGTGGCGAGTATGGCATGTCCGGCGGGGGCATGTGTATGTGAAGGAATTTCAAGACGTGGACTCACAGCATATGTCTGCTCTGGTGTAGGTGTTGTGGCTAAAAGGAGACAGTCTGTCAGGCCATGATATGCATAGCAGCAAAGCTCAATACTCACCTTTCATGACGGCATATCCTACGCCCATGACTATTGGCAGATCGCAGGAGACAGATGCACGGTGAGCAGACAGTTGAGAGATTTGGATGGTGATGCGTACTGCCAAAGGTAGAGATGAAGAACTTGCCCCAGGGAAACGGTGCCATAGTTGCTGACGAAGTACACAGAGAGAAGAGACGGAGTATGAGAGGACGAGGGGGGACAAATGCAGAGACGGTGAGAGGAGGACGAGAGGAGGGAGACGCCGGAGCCTGACGCGTCGCGGCAGAGGCGCGGTCACGTTTCCCCCATGCGATCATCACAGGCACCAGCCTCGCCCGGGCGCTGCTGCGAATGAGGCAGGCATGGTTCTCATCACGGCAGCGGCGACGCACTCATCCTCGGACGCGCCCACGGTTGCCAAATTAATGTGAATCCTTCCCTCTCTCTCCCCACCATCGTCCCCGAGTTCCAGCCAGGTCGTCGTCGCTCTTTCAGCATGTCTGCCCTTTCCAGTCGTTTCCAGCTCACCTTCCTTTTCGTCCTCCTGGCCTCCTCCTCAGCTCTCGCCCACTCTGGCGCGCACGAGCACAAGCGGCTCGAAAACGGCCGTCGCCACGCTGCGGTCAACATCGCTCCGCGCAACGATACCCACCAGTTCGAGAAGCGGTTTGACAACGCCCGCTTCACCTTCTTCCCCACCGGCCAGAACGCGTGCGGCTCCTTCGACCACGACAGCGACTTCGTCAGTCTACTTGTTTGAGCTTCTATGTCTGCACAGCACTGACGCATCACAGATTGTCGCGCTCAACACCCATGTGAGTCTGCGGGCTACTACCCGACCGCTCCTCCACATATGCTGAGCCTGTCCCTTCAGCAATGGGATGGCGGCTCCAACTGCTACAGCAAAATCACCATCGACTACCAGGGCAAGTCCACCGGTGCCATGATCACGGACGAGGTACGTTCTTCGTGCGACACTAACGACCACTGCATCGCCACTGACACCGCTCCCGCATCCCCCGCCAGTGCATGGAGTGCCCGTTCGGCGCGATCGACCTCTCCCCGAGCCTCTTCTCATTCCTCGCGGGCAGCACTGACCCGGGCCAGATCTACGGCGCGTGGAACTTCGGTGGCGGCGCGGCGCCCACCGTCACGACGATGCCGCCGAAGCCCACCACGACCACGCACCAGCAGCCGACGAGCTCCCCGCCGCCTCCCCCGCCGGCGCCCACTACGTCGTCGACGCACAAGACGTCGCACCGCACGAGCACGAGCACCTCGACGCACACGAGCAGCGCGACGTCGTCCAGCGCGGCGCCGACTACCACGAGCACGCCCCCGCCGACGAGCACGAGCACGAGCTCGAGCGTGGAGCCGACGACGACCGTCGTGTCGTTCGAGACGGGCAACCTCCAGCAGTTTAGCCTCGCCATGCTCCAGCTCGTCGGCCTCGAGAACGCTATCTTCGCGGCGCCCAACTCCGACGCGTGATACTCCCCTCTCCGGTTACCATCTCAGAGTCCGTATACGACGGTCCGATCGCGACCGGGCGCCCTCCTCGTTTCCTGGTACCGGTCACTCACGGATGTCTGGGCCCCCGCCGTGTTAGTATCATCGCATATATTCCTCTACTAGGACGTAGCTATCATTTCCGCTTTCTCGTTGGGCTTTCGATGTCGCTCTGGATATCCCGCTGACCGGGATAGAGTTGTTGTGTCACTTGCGCCTACTAGTATATACCTATGCACATGCCCCCACAGTAGTGCCGCGGGAGTCGGGCTTGTGTGGTTTCGTAATCCATATGCTGACGTCTTCCATTCATGATGCGTGCGTGCATGCCGTGACGTGGTTGTTTGACGCTGTCACCGTAACAAGCGGCTGCATAGCAAATCTGTGAGCTTCATTGACGGATGCATGGACAGATTCCCGATAAAAGTATAACGCCAGTGCGTCATTTCTTACACCGGCCTCTCCGAGTAGCTGCACTCGACATGTGAAACCGAACGGCTCGGCGGAAATTGCTGTACGAGCCGTTCGGTTTCACGACACTTACTCCCAAATCGCAAACCCAGGTGAATTCGGAGCATATACTGTACAGCGTATTGGGACGGCCTGCGCGATATATTACATGTAGGTAACCTGGCAGTAAGATCGAGCATAGAAAGGACAACAATAACAACGAGGAGAGCAGATACGTAGGACAACGACAGCGAGCAGGATGGTAGAGATACAAGCCAGGACGGTAGCGCGAAGCACTGTGCGAAACCGAGGAGTATTCACTAGTATACAGATAAAAAAACGGCACGCTTGAACATGTGCAAGATGAGTACTGAGTGTGGGAGTAAACGTGTGTTGGGGGAGTACTGAGTATCGGAGTGAACGTGTGTTGGGGCGAAGCGTATGTGCACGGACGGGGCATCCAAAGGTATCGGTACAGGGTAATCTCAGAGCAGTGGCCACTAGTGCGTCGGCCTCCGACAATGACAAGAAGACAAGCAGAGACTCAGAGATGGAAGAAAGAGATGATAGCGATGTCGTGAACTTAGGATGGTGAATGCATGTTTCGAGGAATGGTCAGGAATTTGAAGGTGAGCTAGGAGTACAACACAGACCCGAAGGATCAACAGTAGGTGGTCAAACTGCAATTTGGAGTTGGGATCCTCCGGAATGGATGTGTTTGTTTGAACAATGGCCGTCAGGGGGGAGGATGCGAGTAGTTCCTCGCCGGCGGTCGCATTGGAATGCCCGATCCGTCTGATGATCGTATGGGCTACACATGGACAAGGAGCCTTGAAACCTCGGCTATGGCTTCCACATATCCCAGGTTGAAGTCTAAGAATATAAATGCAGTCAGCACTTTGCACTTTCTCAATAGCATTATGAGCTACCAAGATGCAAGGAGGTGATCACTAGAACTGCATGCTGGTGTTTATCACTGTGAGGACCTGGGGCTCCTCGGGCCCCCGCTACGACCCTCCGCGATCCTTGGTAGAGGTTCCGGGAAAGATGGGGGAGAGGAAAGGAAGGGTGATGCATGCTGTGTGCGGCTTGAAGAAATCTTGGTCCTGTATCCGCCAACGGAATAGAGTTGATCCAGGGCAGCGGGAGCCGGCCGCATGAGAGACTCCGTGCAGTCGATTGAGGATGGGGGAGTTGGCCTCGGTTGTAGAGATACCCACATGTATCATCGTAGGTAGCTCTGCAATCACGCACGAAAAATGATTTGGGATGGGCGAAAGCGGGGCAGGGCGGGTCTGCAAAGAACAGCGAAAGGGGGCCCGACGAGGCCTTCCTTGTACGCTGCGGACAAGTCTACGATACAAGATTCCTTCTTGCGCACGGGGTGGCGCAACTAACCTCCGCATTTCGATGCATTGCGTGGATAGGGGGGTCCAAGAGGAACACGTAGATCGTTGGCGTCGTGAAGGAGTGAGATGTCGAAGTGGATCCCGGGCGTCCGCACGTGTATTTCCACAGTAGAATTTGGTAAGAAATCCTGCCAGTACCAGCGAGCATCCCTTGAGGAGGCCATCCACGACATCTGTCCAAACGTGAGGGTAGGCACACGGATCTTGCCACCACTGTCCGCCACTCCGAGGAGGTCTGAAGAAGCTCGATAGCCCCAAAAGAACGTTGGGCGCGGGCACTCCCTGCATATGCTCATCCCGCCGGTGTGATTCCGAGATGTGCGGCGCCGATGCCATCGCTCCTCCCGTACCGTATCCATTCGGTCGAAAAGGGGCAGCGCTTGATGACAGGATCCAGGACGCCTCGCAACGTCCCGTGGTCCACTGTATGGATCTAACCTCAAGTTTTCCTCGTGCGAGAGGGGGATTTGATACACCAACAATCCGCAATGAGCTGGCCGGCATTGCATGTCTCGGGGCTACCACTGCACCATTCGCAAGTATAGCCAGGATGGAATGGGATGAACGCGTTGCTGTTGTACCATCCAAAGGGAATCGTTGACAGACCTCCCGTTCTGTACTAGCCGCGTCGGCGTTCATGGCGCGTCCTGCGAGATAAACGATCTTGATTGTCACCGCACGATTGCGCCCAAGTTTCAATTCCGGAGCGCAGCCTCTCAAGGTCCTCCCCAATGCACGATCCAGACTGGCTGTATGGCTACCCAATACCGGGAGGTCGAAAAAGGTATCCCACATCCCGTGACGTTCGGACAAGGGGTGTATGATAGGGACGCTGGGGAGCGTTTTGGGATTGGCAATGGCCGGAGATGTGGCCATGAGAATGTTGACGGCTGTCCGATTGGCGTTGGAAACGCGACGCCCGCGTAGACACCCATATACGCCTTGTTTGAATTTGCGCGGTGCAGGGGAGGCCTGGGGTCTTAGAATGGATGCGGGATTGCGAAGCGTGATTGCCAGGTCAACAAGGCACTCTTTCGTGCGATGGTTCATTCCACCATGCTCCAATACTTTGCTATCGGCGTTTGGATTGTTCCGGAGCCAGTCGTGATCGGCAAGAGAGTTGATGGGGCGGAGGGCTGATACTTGCACTACGCCTGTGCAAAAAGGTGATAAGTTTTGAGCAATTTGCGTGGGCACATGCAAGTAGAAGCTGAAAGGGAGAGAACGTACTAGACACCCCGAGTTTGGAGGATGACAAACTATTTTGCCTCGCTCGATATTTTGGTGATCGTATCGTCTCACAAGCTATGCGCGGACACCCTTCCCGCTTCATGTACCGCCGTTCTGGATGCAGAAGGTCAGCAAACCCATAGAAAATCAAAGGTTGGGACATGCCTCCGTTCGCAGGGCAGGAGGAGCGCTGTACGGCTGGCGACGTGCCATCGCTAAGAACATTCATAGATCCCGACCTAAGCAAAGCGGTAGGCTGATCGGTTTCCGAGGGGCCCCCACTAGCTCCTTCCACTTGTAGGATGTTACAGATCCAGTCGTCTAGCCTTGACCCGGGAAGACGGGGCGACAACAGTTGCGCAGGGATTAGGAACTGATGGAGTGGCGCGAAGAAGGGATCGAAGAAATACAGCACGACTTCCGCAATAGGGATGAACACGTTGATTATCCTACGCTGGACAGCGCGACCCCTGCACAGGAGGCCCAGCCGTAGATAGTCTACAAAGCGCCAGGTCAGCCTTCAAAGCCCGATCATAACTCCAGCGGCGTACGTGCGGAATACTCGTGTTGCATGTCCTGAGCAATCCCCCCTCTAGGGCCGACAAGTCCTAGCTCGCCCATGACTGCACTCACGGGTCCCATGAACGTCTGAGGCCAATTAATCGTTCGCCCGAAATCCTCGATTCGAGAGCCACGCACCTGAACGTACATATGCGTCAATGTGTCCGGAATCCAGTGTTGTTCAGCACGCCGGCTTACTCTTGCGGCATATCCACGTTCGAGAGGCATGCCGCTCACTGACAGGCTCTGTAAGGATCGGCTGGCTCGGACAACGCGCTGGAGTAGCGCAAACGACAGGCCTTTCAGATTTAGATGGCGGAATCCTGTGGGAGCGAAAAAGTACTTTGCAGGACTTTGTTTCGGGTCCACATCGAGGGTAAGTCGCCTCGCACGGGGCACCGAGAATTCGAGCGCCCCAAGAGGCACGTATCGGCATCCCGCAGGGTATACCGTCAGTTCCTCCACCAGTTCGCCCAGGTAACGATGTTGATCCATAGTTTGGAGGAATATGTGCAGGTGCGGCAGGTTATCCAGAATGACGTGGCGGTACAAGTGGCGTTGTGCACGGAGGAGCAACGTGTGTCCGGTAAGAACCAGGGCTAGGAGGGTTCCGTAGGAAGCGCGGGTGTCCCCGGCACATAGGTCGACGATCAAGAATAGGATCTCGACAGGTAGTATGGGACAATACCTCATCCTTCATGCGCCGGAGTAAAACTGCCGATACTGACTATGCAGGAAGAGTGGCGAGGTGGGAGCCGCTGACTAGAGGGGAGCGTATGAGGTGTCTCATACTTATACGAAACCTGCATGAGCTAAGACGGAGAAGCTTTTGGGCACTGGATATATAACGTACCGATCGAAAGCTGAGCGCTGAGACGTCTCGAGATATCCGTTTACGCATCTGATCGTGACATCTAGAGCATATGAGCGGGATTGAATTTGTGAAGGACTCGTCCTATGCCATCTGCAGTACACGTACATGCTCGATACCGTCGATACCGTCGCCCACCAGGAGCCGATACGCCCGAAGTACCGCCCATTGCGATGCGGTGGAGACACCCTTGCAATTGAACACGCCCTTTGCGCAAGCAGTCTGTACTGTTTGATAGTACGTAAGCACGTACGATATGAAACCGCTGAGGCTACATACCCTGCACATATAATCAATGGTCTCCGGAGCAACAACTTGGTCCGGACTAGGCTTCGCTGTGCGATATGATGTGCACTATCATGTAGATGAAAATCCGATATATAACTTCTGTTGCCGGCGTAACGTCTATGTTAACTACACACAGACATATATAGTGCGGCCTTCACCGTCGAGGCCGAAGGAATGAGCATGGCAGAATGACCAGGAACTTGAGTGGCGGTTGGAGGCGGGCAGAGGAGGCCGGCGGTTGCAGAAGGGTCAGGACGCGATTGGTTTGTTTGTTGAGCCAAACAGAGACGCCAAGCCGGGCTGTTTGGCGACGGCGACAGGCGAGCCCAACTCAGCCTCTCCCCCCATCTCTCCAGCGAGCTCTCTGTCGTGTCCCTCGGTTTTTCACAGCCGTCCACGCTCTCTCCGTCCCACGTTCTTTGCTCTATCTTACTCTGCGCCCGCAGAAAAGCGTCAACTCGTCCCTACCGACTAATACGACCCGCAAGAAACATGTTTTCCTCGCTTTTGGGTGCTACCCTGTTTTCGCTCGCCCTCGGGGCCACCGCGTCGTCCCACGGACCCGCCCACCACCGTCGTCACGAGGAAATCGCGGCCCAGGTCAACAACGTCACTGAGACCCACCTTCATCGCCGCGGGCAAACCTACACCGGTGCCCGCCTCACCTACTACGATGTCGGGCTGTGGGTAGCAACCTCTTGCCAACCGCGGAATTGACACTGAATTGCTCACCATAGGGGTGCCTGTGGCGAGTATAACAACCCTGGTGACTTCGTGAGTGTTTGATGCGCGTCCTCATGTAAATCCTCGCTGACATGAGCGACTGCAGATCGTGGCGTTGAACTCTGGCGTACGTCGGATCACGACACTCTGCTACTCCTTTAGACTAACACTGTTCGCAGTCCTACGGTGGCGGCTACCCCGGCCCTAACTGCAAGCGCCCCATCGAGATCACGTATAACGGGAAGACCGCGAATGCTGTCATTATGGACGAGGTACGACCATCATTCTGTGCTTCTCGGGACCCTGCCTGAGCTTCGTTATTTTCACACAGTGCCCTGGCTGCCCCTCGCCCGGCGGTCTTGACCTGTCCACTGGCCTATTCTCCTACCTCTCGGACCTCGACGCCGGCGTGATCTACGCGTCCTGGCGCTACACCGATGAGGGTGACGACCCCGCCCCGACCACCTCGTCCTCGAAGTGGGTCGCCCCGACCACGTCCGAGTGGGTTGCCCCCACGACGACCTCGAGCAAGAAGCCGAAGACGACCAAGACCCCGACCACGACCTGGACCCCCGAGCCGACCACGACCTGGTCGAGCAGCTCGGAGTGGTCGTCGTCGTCGAGCTGGACCCCCAGCACCACCTGGACCCCGTCTTCCTCATCTACCCCGTCGTCCTCGAGCGTGCCCACCTCCAGCTCGAGCGCCAGCTCCTCCGCGAGCGTCGCGCCCGCCGCGCTCACCACCTCTACTGGCCCGGACACCCTCGCGAAGCTCAACCAGGCCGTCCTCGGTCTCGCCGAGATCGTCATCGCTGGCGCTCAGGCGGCCTGAGCGACACCGTGATTCTGCTGCCTTCCGCGCACCATTTGTTGCTGTCGCGGCTGACAGTTTATGGCCATAGACGCTGATCACCCTGTATACCCAATCTGATCTTACCTTTCGTTTTATACGCCTTCTTGACTTATGGGTCCCTGTTGCTGTACTCTATGCATGGTGTATAGAGCGTGGCGAACAATACTATCCAGGATGTTGCGTTTCCATTGTGATCGGGACCACACATTACTATCTGCCGACATAGGATATGATGCATTCACGTGCGGCTACCTACAACCACAAGTGGATCCACTCGAGATTCATCTACTGTGGTTTAAACTTCTGCAAGTGAAGCGCAGCTCGGAACCTTATTAAGTGATAGAGCACAGGACGAGATATCTTGATCAAATTGGTATTGACGGCGTCATATCCTACATTCTAAGTACACATTGGGTTCGATGGGGAGTCGCCGACACGGATCGGAGAGGGGCGGCAAGAGGGAACGTCGTATCCGGATAACCGGTGCAAGGGGTGGGGGACGAAAGCAGAAGAGATACACAGGCTAGCAGATACGTACACGAAGCAGGAAACGGGTACGTGCAGGGGATTTACAATATGGTACATGGGCGGTTGCGGGCTGCGCGCCCACCAAACGTGAGCAGTGACAAGAAACTGATGCAATGAGGGTCGTGGACATAGATGCAAGGGAAGGAATGAAGGGATTACGAGGCGTTGGTAGACGGCCCTGGAGGTGTGAACTCTATGGACATGTCTTGGGTCTTGGGCGGTGTGCAAGGTGGGCGTTGGAAGCGGCATGCGTAGCGCGGTGGACGCGGAGGGTGGTCGTCAATCACCGGTAGCACGTTACGAGGAGGACGCCCAGTCCGCTCTCCTTCACGGACTTGACGGGGGCCTTGCGCCCGCCGCGGATGTCGCGCAGGAGCGCAGAGCGGCTCGGATGCATAACGCTTCGGAGCGCCTCGACGCCCTGCGAGCGCACCGCGAGATAGTCGCGCACGTTGAGGAACACTTGCGACTTCAACAGCGCCTTGGCGGCGCGCATCGAGCTGGGGAGCGACGGGAGCGAAAAGAACGATGGGGCCACCGGCGCGGCTTCAACGGTTGTTTGCTCGGGGACGGCGGGGTACAGGCCGAGCTCGATGATCAGCGCCTGCAGGAATGCGAGCTTCGGAATGTCTGCCTTCATCGACGGGTCCGCAGAGAGCACCCTAGCGACCGCGCGCTCCCCGTCAGTAAATGAGAGCATGGCACAGGCGGACGAACTCACGATGAGACATAGGTCTGTGCGCTCTCATACACCGCGGGCGGCACGTAGACCGCGGGATACTCGGTCCCTGCCTCCGATACGTCGTCCACGATGGGCCGGTCCCCGAGCCCCGCAAGAGCCGCGAAACTCTGCAAACTGCTCGCGCGCGCGGACGCCCGCTTCGCCTTTCTCTTCGCCTTCGACGGGCTCTGTGATTTCGGTGACTCCTTGGAGGCCTTCACTGGGCTCGCGCTCGGCGCGGGAACGCCGTTGTTAGGGGCTGCTGCTGCTGCTGCTGCTGCTGCTGCTGCTGCTGCTGCTGCTGCTGCTGCTGCCGCCGCCGCCCGCTTCTTCTTCTTGACGCGCCTCCGCGAGGACTTTGAGGACGAGGAGCTGCTCGATGCACTCGAGGGACCGACAGAGAGAGCGGAGAAGGTGGTTGTGAGATCGTCCTCGCGCGGGGTACGGGGCCGGCTCATAATCACGAACTCATCGTCCGAAAACACCGCGGGGCTCCGCGGATCGTCTCCGCGCTGCGAGAGCACATCGAGGGCGGAGATGTCGGAGAAGGAGAGTACGATTTCGTCGTCGGAAGAGGCATCGTCGGAGACGGTGCCGTAGGACTCGTCGGAGGACGCACTCCGCGAAGCACGGCGGGAATGCGACGAGAAATAGTCGTACGAGGAGAGCGAGGAGCCCGGGGAGAGCGCACGGAGAGGCGAAGACATGGTTGGCCTGCGGGAGGAGAAGGCGACGAGGGAAAAGAGGTGAGCGCGAGGTGCGGACTATATAGGGCGGACGGTGGGCCCGGGCGATAGGAATGTTGCGGTCCCAGACACGAGGGTGCGTGCTGAAGCTGAAGGCCGTAAATCAGGCCCAAACTGAAACCGCGAGTGCCTCGAGGAGAGCAGGGCGAGCTACTGGGGCGCGAGGCTGGTCAGGAAAGGCGAGCGGATGGTAGTCAGGACATGAGGAACGCGCGAATGGCACTGGCCCAGCCGCTTTAGTATACGTACCTGCGCATGATGTGTCCGATAGGCCCCGCCACGGAACGTTCCCATTGCCAGATCGCCCTCTCTCGTTGCGCGGGACACAGCCTGCCCTCTGCGGTCTCTTGCTTCCGAAGTGCTATAACAATAGGCTGTCTACCAACCCAATTACACGCCCGCTATGGCCGACCGCGGGAATAGCCTATCCGCCCCTGCGACCCCACCCACGAACTGCGCTACGGGCAGATCCTCCAGTACACGACTGAGCTGTTCCACCCTGCCACTGCGCGCTGCTCTACCTCGACGCCCTTCTTCCACACTTGGCCCTGCAGATCCCGCACGGCCGTCGCCCGCTTGTGCTGCAGCATGAACCGCTCGCCCTCGGGGGTGAGCAGCGTCGTCGGCGTCGGCAGGCTCCCGCGCTTTCCGTTCCCGAGCTGGTACTCGAAGTTCGCACCCCATACCACCACGTCCTTGCCACCGCCGCCAGGGCCCGAGTGCTTCCGGGTGTCCAGCGTGAGGAGGACGTGGCCGGTGGGAGAGATGGAAATCCGCTCAGGCGCTATGGCCTGCAGGTTCTGGGTACGCTCGCTATCTGCAGAACCGAATGCATCAGCACCTGCCCGTACGCGTCATCACAGCGAAACTCAGGTCGATAGACCGCGGCCATTTTACGCTGTTTGGGAGAAGGTGGGGCTAATCGCCCTTGTGCGGTCGGTCGAACTACTCCGCACCACCGGCGACCCACTCTCGAGGTGATCTGTTGGACATCGAGCACTCGGCTCGCTCACGTTGCGTACCATGTGAGGCCTAGTGCGTCCCCGACTCCGCATGCTCCACGAGTGAGAGGAAATCACAGCGGTCTATCGACATGAGTTTCGCTGCAAGGCCCAAGCTCACATTCGTAGAGCCCGCTGACGTTCTTGGCGCGGACCGGGGTGCCCTGGGAATTGCTGTACATCGCGTTGCCCAGACCGCCATATTGGCCGTTCCCACACGCAAGTACGTCGATGTACGGCATCCCCGAGCCGTCCGAGCGTTCCACCTCGAACATGGTCAGGTCGCCGCCTGCACGCACGTGAGTGAGCCCGTCGTTTGAGACATTAACAGGTACATGCCCACTTACCCGCAAAGACGTCGACGCATGTCGTCCGCATTGTCGCGGGGGTCGCTCGCCACAGGATAACTTCCGTGGGTACGGTGATGGTCTCGAGCGTCACGTTGCCTCCTAGGCCAATTTGTCTGCAGATCAGGGAATGTTTGAGCAAGCGACGACAACACGTTCAAGGGTCGATTTGCCTACCCGAACTCATTTGCGCCCCAACCGAGGACCTTGCCGGCGGCGGTCTTGACGAAGCTACTCCGTCCGCCAGTAGCGACGCGGTCTACATTCACCCCTTTGAGAGCAGGGACTTCGAAGAGCTTATCCGAAAAGCGGATGTTCGCGTCGTCCAGTCCAGCGGCGACCGCCTCCTTGCCTACTAGCGCCTCACTACTCCGTGCAAGCGAGCTAGAGGGACGGATGGCAGGGCTCGCTTTGGCGTAGGGGTCCGCAATGGACTTGGGAGTCAGCTCGAGCGGTATGCGCGGGTGCTTGTGCGGGAGGTGGAAGTGCTCGAGGTCGATGGGGGAGGGTACGTCGCACTTGCGGAAGCCGAGCTGGCCGTGCGAGTTCGCGTTAAGCGTGATTGGGTGCGCAAAGGTGCGGCCTTCCGACGTCACCGCCAGCATGTGGTCCGTCCCCGCGGATATCTGCACAAATCTGTCCTGTAACGTGAGTACCGTATTACCATTTCGTAGGGAGACGGGATTGAGCATACCGTTCGCCTCGCTTTAGACCTTCGTTTGGGGTAATCTCAGCGAAGTTGACCTCTTCTTCCTCCCCCCATAGCCACCCTGTTCCCCACCATGGCGTGCTTGCAGGAGTTGGTGCGCCGGCAGGGAGTGCCTGTTCGGCCTGACGCGACGAAAGGACGTATACCCTCCCGGAGGCGGACAATGCGAATACGCGCGAACGCGTCAGCTGCAGCTGGGTGATGTTCTGCGGCGGACATCGGATGAGCATATTATCAGTCCGTAACCCGTACCACTCACCTTGCCTCGGAGAGTGACACGCGGCTTGGTACGAGAGGAGCCAGGCTCGCTACCAAAGAAGCCGTCGCCCCATTGGTACAAGTCCCCTCGCGCATCGACGCATGCTGCATGCTGTTCGTGCAGTGCCAGGTCACGCAGCGCGACATTGTCGAACCACTCCGAAGGTGTCGGCACCCTTACGGACTCCGGAAGGTCGCCCTCGAGTATATGCGTTCTGGATATGTCAGCACACGCATACACGCGTCAATACATCATGCACGCACTTGTTTGCACCCCACACTAGGGTGGTCAACTCCGCATCCGCATTTTGCGTCCTCCCATCCGACGCTCCCCTTGCGCGCACCTCGGGGGTCGAGGGCGCGTCGTTGTGTATGACATCTCGCGCATTCGTGGCGTGCCATAGCGCACCTGCAGCAGCCGCGGAGACAGAGGTCAAGACCACAGCTGATCTTGTGTGCTGGGAAGTGCGGCCAGCATACGAAAGGTACCTTCTGCCAGGGACGCGACTGAACGCAACTACCCGCGTAGTTCCTCGGAGCATGTTAGGCCAGCGAGAGGCAGATGTGAGGGAGGCGTATTCAGCTCAAGCAGCCCAAAGAGGAAGAAGCCGAACTCCTGTGCAGGTTTTAAAGTGCACGAACACGTCGAGGAGTCCAAGTACTGGCGAGAACGACGAGATGTACAAGGCTAGCATCCGACTCTGAGAGGTCCCGAAGGGCGCTCAGAGTGATCGGAGCCGTTCATAGGCGCTCTGAAACCGGCGTTCGCCGATTGGTGAGATTGTGGAATCACGTGACGAGAATCACATATTTATATACTTATTAAATGTAGCTATATGTATATATAACCTTGACGAAGACCTAAGGTATCGCCTTCGATAGCTCAGTTGGAAGAGCGTGGGACTGTAATCGGAAACCAGGATTGTACCCCCAATCCCTGAGATCATCCCAAGGTCACTGGTTCGATCCCGGTTCGAAGGATGTTTCTTTTTCCTCATTCGGATGTGAAGGGAGCACAAGCACGTGGCCTGTCAAGCTGTCCGGACTCCCCCGATCGATTCCGATCGATGACATCGGCCAGAGAACCCTAAATTGCCGGGACGCAGCCCGATCGGCCGGCGGTCCCGTCGATGTTACTTTAGCAATGTCAGCCACCTCCTCCCCCAGAGTCTGACAGACGTGCCACAACATATGCGCTCAGGCATCCTGCATCATAAATCAACGATGCATTCGAAGGTGGAGGTGGAGTCGGAGGCGGAGAGGGCGCGTGGCGTGGGCATAACCCCGGGGGAGCGTGAGCGTTTAACGCGTATTCCCATTCTGCGGATGACTTCATCCATGGTATTTCCGTACAGGCTCAACGCCAACTTCGTAACGCGCTACTCGAATTGTCAGCCGAAGAAATCGAAGCCCCAGCATCGCCCATGCCGGCCCTCCTTGCTTCCCACCACCACCACCACCACTTTCTACTTGGCCCGCCATGTCTCGAAGAAGCGCCAGTATTTCGGAGGCGAAACACGAAAAACAAGCACAGACAGATGTACAGACCGACGGGAACTCTTTTGACGTGTACGGCAATGAGGAAACGGCAGAAAGTGAGCGCATACATCCACTATCTAGGCGTTGTACTCACTATTCCCCAGTCAAGTACCGCACCATGGTATGGTGGAAAGCCGCCGCACTCATGCTTGCGGAGACGGTCTCGCTTGGGGTACGCGTTCAGCAACATTGCGGGGATAATATCGCTCATTTGTCGTCTCCTAGATTCTCTCTATCCCCTCCGTCTTTGCGACCCTCGGTCTCCCGGCAGGAATCATCTTGGTCATTGTAAGCACTATGAGTTTTTTCCGTCTCTACGCGCTCATGCCGTGGCACAGGGACTCGGCGCAATTGCGACGGCTACTGGCTACATGATCGGCTTGTTCAAGTTGCGTTACCCACACGTCCACAATATGGCCGACGCCGGTGAGATTCTCGCTGGGCCCATCGGACGCGAAGTGCTGGGCGGTGCGCAGGCCGTCTTCATGATCTTCATCTGCGGCAGCCACGTCCTCACAGGGCTCATCGCCTTCGACACCAGTAAGCATGCGGTCTTTGTCACGAGGAGGGCACTGCTGACCTTCTCCTATGCAGTCACTGCCGGGGCTTCTTGCTCGGTTCTATGGGCGGCCGTCGCTGCGATCATTTGCCTCGTGCTCACGCTCCCGAGGACGCTGAATGGCATCTCGTACATGAGCGTGGTCTCGTTCATCTCCATTATTAGTACGTACCTGTTGAACTTCTGTGTCTACGGCTGTGCCGGACCGGGAGTGGCAGTGATAGTGGCTGTGCGTCTACCATACGCCAGCATGGACTTTCCTACTTACCATATACGTACATTCTTTTGTTCTGTACTTACTTGGCATCCTGCCATCCCTCCATATGATTCTGGTACGTTCTACGATGTTCCGGACTATTCTAGACAGCGTCCGGATTACTCGCATTACTCAGCCATGGACTATCTGACCTTATGTCGATT